GAAATTATTAAAAGTATGGAAAAATCACTCTTCGGAATGACCACAACAGACGTCAGGAAAGTGGCTTTTGAATTTGCCGAAAAAATGAAATTAAGCCATCCATTCAAGGTTGAAATGAAAATGGCAGGGATAGACTGGATGTATGGTTTTTTAAAAAGACATCCAACGCTATCTATTAGAAAGCCGGAAAATTGTAAAAAGATAAAGCGTTCTAAAGATTTATTAGATATAAAAAGTAAAACGGTGAAACGAACCAAAGATACAACTCCATGTGGGACTTGCACACAAATTTTTTGTAAAGATGTAACTGGGCGTCAGTGGATCAAATGCCAAAAATGTGGCATTTGGCATCATAATGGTTGCCAAGGACTAGAAGAGGATTATAATGACATTTTTATTTGTATTGAGTGTGATGATTAAAATTACAAACAAAACATTAAAATTTTAATAAATTTTATTTTGTCATTTCATTAAAAATAATAAAGCATTTTTTTTCATGCATTTTGTTTCTATTAAAGCTATAACCATTGTAATCACAGCTTGTTTTGTTAATTTCTTAATTTGGGCCTTTTGCCCCAGGTATGGGGCAAGAAGCTCTTTTGATAGACCTCTATAGTTTTCCTCATAAAACACAGAAAGTGTATTTTTGAATAATTTAAATTGTAGAATTAGGTAGTGGACATACCAATCTAGCTAAGGCAACATTAAACTTTAAAAAATGTTCGAGTTGTTGGGTGTGGTCAACCGCCAAACGTTAGAGGTGGCTTTTTTGCCCCATGCTACCCTACTACAAGCAAGAGCAGGAATGACGTTGTAACACATCAGATGCAGGAAACTTCAAAACTGTGGTGCACTTAGGTTGTTTGTGAGATAATAACAAGGACCAAAAACTTCCATAATTAAGTCCAATACTTCTTTGCAGTTCCTGTTTAATTCACCGAGTTCATTAAAATTAATTTATAAATCAAAGTATAACACAATTTTAAAATATTTGATAATATACTGTACAATTTTTAAATTGTATTATAATGTCAACAAAATAATATATAAAATCTTATACTATGCACCTGCGTCTCGAACCGTTATTTTCGTTACCAATCGACAGAGATTTAATAATAACGGTAAAAAAATCTCGTATCGTTATAAAACGATACGAAAAATCTCGTATCCTTTAATAACAATACCAGAGATCTCCTATCGTTATTTAAACAAGACATTTTTAGGAAAGTCTATCATATCGAAATAAAAAATAAAAGACAATTTTCGTCTTGTACCATTATTTCAAAGTGTGGAAATGGTAAAAGTGCACATTGTAAAAAAGTGTTATAAAATATAAAAACTTATTTAATTTTTTCCAATTGAATGACTTTGGTTTAATACTCTAAAAATATTGTATCGTTATTAAAACGAGACATTCTCAAAAAAGTCTCGTATCAAATAAAAAATACGAACAAAACAAACTTTTGTTTAATTTTTCAACTGAATGGCTGTTTTCTGGGCGAAGTGGGTGTGCGGCGTGATGGTCTAATGGTTAAGGTCGCCTGGTGCTGTTTCGCAGTAACCGGGTTCGAATGTGACAAAAATATCCCCGCGTGTCACATGCTTCGTATATAATGCGTCGTTTAGCACGATGTTCATTTACGGTGTTTTGCGCTCTGTTGAATCCTCTGAACTTTGGAAGAGTGTAATTGACCTTTAACTTTTTTCTGTTTTAATACAGTACATTTTGTAAAGCGGAGTTGGCGGGAAAACAAATAAGGGCAGACTGTAAATGTGCCAAGCGTCATTGTTAGTGCGCGACGTTTTGGTTCAAATACTATCTTTCAAAAACTCAAAAATCATCATACAACTTGTGCACATGATTTTATTATATCAATATATAGTCTTCAATACCTCGTTATCGTATTGTTATCGTATCGTTATGTATCGTTTTCAAAATAATAACGAGACGCAGATTCTTATGTAACAAAATTAATTTTTAATAATTCCGTGTATTTTCATTAAACGAAAATTTATTAAATCAAACTGTTCAGCCGATTTGACATGATTGAGTCCGCCTGTTAGATACGCTTCATCGTAGCCGAAATCGTATCGTTTTAAACAAATAACGGGACGCAGATGCTTATATAATAAAATTAAATTTTTAATTATTCCGTGTAATATTATTAAACGAAAATATATTAGTTCAAACTGTTCAGCCAATTTGACAATATTGGTTCCGCCTGTTAGATACACCAAAACCGTCGCGTTATAAATTTTACCGAATGTTTGGCGTTAATATGTTTTTAAAAGTATATTATGATTGTTTGTAAACATGGACGATACCGTAGGAGTACCTATCTCACGTTTTACCCTAAAGATATTCAGATTAGATTAGAGATATCTTCATCAGAATCTCTCATCATTTAGTAATTAGTGTTAGTTAGTAAAGTACAGTTAGTGCAGTTGGAACAGCATTATGGAGAACCAACAACAGCAGCAGCAACAACTGGCATTATTAACTGTACCTCCACGATGGTTGCATTGCCCTAGGAAAAGTGCTCTTATTGAAAGTAGGTTTCATTGTTTAGTGATTTCTTTCTGTGTTTTAATGATTGATTGAATGATAATTAATTATTTTTTGGGGGGAGTTTATTCCCTTGCTTGCTTGATTGTTTAAAATTTTAAATTATTGATTAATTGATTGATTAATTATTTAACCGAATAATCCAACAAATTTTTAAAGACAAATTTTTAGTGTTCAAAACGCCTCTAGATGAAAAATACGATGATCAAATATCAGAAGATTGTAGATTTAATCTAGAAATGGTCTTTGAATCGGTGAAAAACATGAAGGTGATAATTAATTTATAATTAACCAATTTTTAAGACATAATTAAAATTAACTTTTAAACAGATTCGCTTATTAGGATTTCTATATAATTAATCATATGATTATTATTATCATATAGAAAGTATTTATTTTATTATTTAGTTAAAGATGGGTCTGATCATCGACCTGACGAACACCTCAAGATTCTATGATAGTAACACAGTTAAAGATCTGTATGACTGCAAATATTATAAACTTAATTGTAGAGGGTTAGAGATTTATATTTTAATTATTATTTGATTAATTATGTGTTTTTTTAAATATTTAATTAATTTCAGATAATTGTTTATAACTTTTAGATTATTATTATTATTAAATGCATTTCTAGAACCACATTTACTTTAGTTTAATTTTTTTGTCAAGATTTATTATCACTATTAAATCACTTTTCTATTTATATTTTTTGGTAACACTTTAGATTTGACCAGGCGCCCTCAGAAGAGCAAACCTCGCAGTTTTATGCCATATGTGATAATTTCTTCAGACAGAATCCTACAAAAATTATTGGTTAATTAAAAATAAATACACACACACCCACGCCCTACGCACACACACACACACACACACAGACAGACATACACATACTTACAAACATACATATACAAAAACATTCATATGCATGCATACACACACACACGCATATGCACATATGTATGCTCACACAGATATACTCTTAGAGTAGACCAGACACTCACAAGTGCATTTACACATATACCTGCACACACACAAACACATACACAACCAATAAATAAAGTGTCACACACACACACGCAATAAATAAATAAAGTATCATTAATATTTAGTAATAAATAAAAGTACCAACATTAAGTTAAGTACTACTGCAAGTTAATGAAGTAGCATTGAAAAACTACATGCCCAGGTGTCCATTGCACACATGGTTTTAACAGATCAGGCTTCCTTATAACGTCCTATTTTGTACAAAAGGATAACTTGAGGTATAGAAATTTTATTCTTACTTGTCTGTCTGTTTGTGTGTACGTGTGTGTTTGTTCGTGTATACGTGTGTGTTGGTTTGTGTGTACGTGTGTGTTTGTATGTTTGCTTGTTCATTTCTATATTCTTTAATCTTCAAGCTTTATTAATTATTTATTTATTAATCACAATTCGTTTTTTCTAATTAATAATTCAATAAACTGGTCATTTGGATTGAGTAATTACTTAAAAATGGAACTAAAATAATAATAATTGATCGCAATTAAACAGTCCATATGTGGTATTGAAGATGTTCAGTGCGGCCCGCCCACCGGGTATATACAAGCAGGAATACCTGGATGAGATTTACAGGAGGTTCGATCCCACCGAATACGCGCCCACAGCTCCTGAACTCCCGTCTTGGTGTACGGGTAGGTATTTTTGTGTTTCTTTTGTTTCTGTTGTTGTTTGTGTATGTGTGAATGTATGTGTGAATGTATGTGTGTGGGAGTTTGCTTATGTATGTGTCTATATTTGTATGTATGTATGTCTCTCTCTGTGTGTGTGTGTGTGTTTTGTATATGGATGTTTGTGTGTGTATGTGTCTATATTTGTGTGTATGTATGTCTGTGTATGTCTGTGTGTGTTTGTGTGTGTGAATGTTTGTATATGGGTGTTTGTTTATGTATGTGCGTTTGCGTGTGTTTGTGCATGTATGTGTGAATGTACGTACATGGGTGTATGTGTGTACGTATGTGTCTGTATTTGTGTGTGCGTATGTGTGTATGTGTATGTTGTGTATGCATATGTGTATGTATTTTTAAATGCAGAATCTGACGATAGTGGTCGGGATGATGATGGCAATGCTATTAACAATGATGGAAACAGCAGAAGTAGTAATAACTCCTCGACGAATAGCTGGAGGTACAGGAAGACTGTCTACAAGAAGGTGAGTGATTATGACGACGACGACGATGAAGATGGTGATGGTATTGTTGTTGTTGATGATGAAGATGGTGATGTTGTTGTTGTTGATGATGAAGATGGTGATGCTGTTGTTGATGACGATGATGATTTTGTTGATGATGATGATGACGTTGTTGTTGTTGGTATATTTTCTATAAAATTATTTTCAAATAACAATAATAATAATAATTGCTATTATATGATAAATATGCGATAATTATTAATAATGATTATAATATTTCAAATTTTCATCAGGACATTTTGTTTATGGATGGGAATGTGAAGGGTGTTGTGACAGTGAAAGAGGACGCTGAGATCTTAAGGGTTCAAGAGATTGTCAGGGAGATGTGCAACATGAAGAGGTTGGCTGTGCGTGACGTCACGCTGACGTAAGTGTGACGTCACGCTGACATCACGACGTCTTGATGGTGTTGTATCTTCGATTTATTGTATCTTTGATACGATGACGTGTTGATAGATATGGCAATGATATCATGATAGTGTATTGTATAGAACGTAGGTGTAGAATTTGTTAATAGGTTTGTAGTTCAAGATACCTATCTGATTGAAGGTGCGTGATGTATCTATTTAGTTGTTATGATGGTCTGTTAGTGATGATATGGTATCATGAGATGATATAATGTTTGAATAATGATACATCCATATATCCATATAGGGTATCATGTGTTGATATAATATTTGAAGGATAATATTTAATCAATCAACCAATCAATCAATCAATCGATCATTCAATCATTAAATATCATCTTACAATAAGATACGGTATCATACGAAGTATCTCTTTTGTATCACAACCTACAGTGTATAAAGTGTATTTACTTGTCGTTAAATATACAGTTTGGTCTTTCCTGGTGCACATCCAGTCAGTATGAACCAAGAGAACATATTGTTTCTCACTAGGAGGCCTTACAAGGTCAGCTGGAAGGCAGATGGCACTAGGTGAGTTTGATGTTTTTTTATTAAATTATGATAGTTTAAATTATGATTTTTGAATTATGATAAATAATAATAATTATTATTATTTTTATTATAGCAATTTTTTATTTAATATCTCATTTTTTAATGATTATATTTTTAAATGCTTCGTAATTGTAGATACCTCATGCTGATTGAGAAGAAGGACAGTGTATTTATGATGGATCGAGATAATACGGTTTTTAGAGTTGAGCAGAATTTAACTTTTAAACGGAGGAAAGAACCGAACGCCGATCTGTGTAATACCCTATTGGATGGGGTTAGATTTTTGTTCTGGGGTTGTTGTTGTCGTTGTTTCTTGTCTTTGTTTTGTTAACTGAATTTATTATCTTTGTTCTTTTGTTGTCGGAATTTATTATCCTTGTTATTGCTTTTGTATGTATTTCAAGTTAGTGTTATTACTTCTTGAAACGTTAATGCAACTTACGATACTTTGAAGTGATGATTTATACTTATTTTTCACATTTTTGGGATTTAATTTAACTTGAAAAAAACTATAAATAAATAAACAGGAAATGATAATTGATCAGGCGGAGGGCAAGCCAATACCCAGGTACCTCATCTATGATGTCATAAAATTGGATGTAAGTTTTTTTTTACCTTTGTATCTATGTATTATATATAAGTTTGTTAATAAGTATAATAATGAGTGAATACATGGATGGATGGATGGATGGGCAAATGAAAGAAAGGATGAGTGTATGAATGAATGCTTTAATGAACGAACGAATGAATGAATGCTCGAATGATTGAATGAATGAATAAATATTAATATTGATTTATTTATAATAATATTTATAAATTGAATTCAAGGGTCAAGATGTTGGTAGTTGGAATTTCGACATTAGATTGATGTGCATATTAAAGGATATAATTCAGCCACGAAATGAGGGTAGAATTAATAAATCTTTGGAACCTTTCAGTATCAGAGCTAAACCTTTCTGGGATATAACTTGTTCTCGAAGTGTAAATATATATCTAGTTTAGAATTCGTAGTCTTTCATATAAATTGTAATCACTTTCAAAACTTTAAAAAAAATTTTATTTAGCTGTCTAAATATTTTATGTTAATAGCTAAACAGGCTAATACAAACCCTAAAAATGTGAATTTTGTATGTTAATTTATTAGATGTGATGTTTAGAATTAATAAATTTAAATATTGATGGCCGCATATTGATGATTAAATTTTAGTTACTGGATGGAAAGTTCGCAAGGGAGGTCAGTCACGAAGTCGACGGCTTGATCTATCAACCTGTCGATATGGTGAGTCTGTCTGTCTGCTTTGCCTGTCTGTCTGCTTTGCTTGTCTGTCTGTCTGCTTTGACTGTCTGCTTTATCTGCCTGCCTATTTGGTGTCTCTTTTCGTTTATTTGTTTGTCTGCTTGTCTGTCAGACTTATCTGCTACTCAATTTCTTACTTTCCCTTCAAGAAATAATATTAATTTTACATGATTGATATTAATTAATAATAATTAGTTAATTATATTCTTATAAATTATTTATTTTATTTCATAATTAAGCTGATAATTTAATGACACCCTTTCCAGGGCTATAAGATGGGCCGCTGTAGTGAGATGCTAAAATGGAAACCACCTTCACTCAATTCAGTTGACTTTAAACTCGTGGTCAGTTACGAGAAGGGGGAAGGGTGAGTATACTGATGATGATGAGGATGGTGATCAAGATAATAATGGTGATGTCAGTGACGTTGGTGACGATGATTTTGTATGGAGTTTCCACTTTTGAATGTAAACCTTATTCCATCTTACTATTATTACTATTATTATTACATAATAATAAATAGCGATATAAATAATAATTATATTATGCATATTTAAATCAGAATTGTGCCGGGATATGTTGGAGATCTGTACGTCGGTGGGATGGATCGTCCCTTTGATAGGTTATCCGTTAGTATCCACTAATTATTATTTATTTATTCAATTATTCAATAATATTTTTTTTGTATTTCATTTTTGTATTTCAAATGCTTTTGAATAATAATTTTAAATAAATTTTAAATATTTTTAATACATCGCTACGCGTACTTGCATGGTTGGTACATGCTGCAAATTGTATTAATCTATAATAGCGTTGACATTCATTTCGACATACCTTTTCTTATTCTTCTAATTATTCTTATAACCATTCCATTATAAATTGTCATTCCAGTCAATGAAGAAAGGTTTACGAGAACTTAACAACAAAATTATCGAATGCAAGTGGAACAACGGATGGGTGTTCATGAGACAAAGGACAGACAAGTCATTTCCAAACAAATATGAAACCGCGGCGGGTTAATTTTTTTACTTTTTTAAAAATTCTTGAGACTGTTTTGCTGCACAAGGCACTATACAAATGATACACAAATATTGTTATTGTTATTATCTATAACTTATTGTACATACATTTGCTCATCTGTCATTTAGCTTGACAGGGGAACAATTTTTTCTAAATAAAATCTTTTAAAAATGCACGAGCTGACGTTATTTCAATGAACAGTTTTATTCACATTTCATTTAAACTTCATCCAGCTGTTGTGGAATCCATCAGGAATCCAGTAAACAAGGAGTTACTGTACGAAATTATTGATAACAAAAGATACGATCTCACAAAGAACTCCCACCAGCCTCCTAATAGGACAGACTCGCAAAACAATCAACAACAACAGCAGAAGCGACAGCATAATCTGAACAGCCATCCATCAACTCCGCAAAGACAAAATTATGGGCACATACAATCGACACGTGGTGACATGCCACCACCGGCCAAGATACCGAGATCTCTTTAATGACGTCACGCAAACGTCATTATCATTGTAGTCATCGTTCGCACTTGCTGTCGTTTACAATTTTATCAGTTAATCGCTACGATCATCATGACTGCTTCCAGTATCATTACTAACGCCTATCATCATCATCTACCCATTTAATGTTATCTTTCTCTTTATTTATCTTTTACTTTTATTTAATGTGATTCATTCATTCAGTTAGGGTTATTGATTGTGGAAATGTTTTTAAATTAATTTTTATTTTGAAAGTTAAGAAATTTCATTTTAAAAATTGAGAAATGTAAACTAAAGCCGTGTAAATAAAGATGACTTTTGTTCGATTTTTTTTATTAAATCAACATAATGTAAATAACGCAGGCCGTAACGAGTCTACTCTTAACGTATGTTGAATCAAACACAAAGACAACAACTTATATACACACTTATTGGAACATCACAAAGTGTTTATGATTTCAAGGGTAGTTAACTTTGAAGACTGTTCCTCATCGAGTAAGCTAAATAGAATACAAGAACAACCCCTGCTGTTGCTATGTGTTCCGTCTGAATCCACGGTCCTCTGGATGTGCCCTAAGTAAGAAATATAGTTGGCTGGGTAGAGATGCATTTATTTATGCTGGACAAATTAGTGAAAAGTTGTAGGATGTAAGTTGTTGTACATACACATTAGGATAGAATGTAGTATTAGTATGTGTATTGGTATGTAGTATTAGGTAAGTGATCATTTAGTTTTACCTGGTGGTGAACATCGATGGTGAACGATGTTTTCACAGCAGATGAATCTTCACCACTTCTTTGAACCTAATGAGAATGTCATCACATGTGAAAAGTCTACTAAAACACAGTTACAAAATAGATAACACCTGATTGTAATTTTCAAGAAGTTAGGCAACTTATCGGTGAATTTTACTTACTTTACGTAACTCAGAATATGCTTCATCATCAAATAGGCGAAGCATATACGATCCTTTGGGTATTTTTTTATGCTCTTCACTGTAACTGACCTACATGGCAATATAATATTTGTATAATGAGTTTACTCATATAGTAAAGTTTTAATCTTCATCACAAAAATGAAATGATTACTACCTGGTATTTATTTTCTGAAATTTTGGTTACAGGGAATGTTTTACCATGAAATTCGGCATGCAGATTGACATCCTGATGGAAAATTTTTTTGATTTTATTATGTCAGGCATACTATATTCTACTACTACTAAGTTAAGGCAAGATGATAGATAAAATAAACTATTATAATCTGTTTTATTTTTACTAGTTTAACATTTGTTTAAATTTCATTTGTTGATTAAACAACTATTACCAATGATTAATCAACATATCTGATAACAATCATACTCATTTAGATTTTAAATCTAATAAACATAAATATATAATTATAATATAATAACATTATATATATATATACATTTGTGATTTTACTTTACAAATTTAATTTAGTAAGCTACAATGTCTGATGTGATATGTAAGTAAAAGTAAGTAAACTAAACAATTTATAATATTTATATTTTTGTTCACTAAAACCTTAAAACAATTATTACTCATTTATTTTATTATAAATTTAAATAAAAATTATTTTTAAAAGAAAAAAGCATGTGGTTAAGACTACAAGTAACCAGTAAAATGGCTTCCCCTTATTTTACTAACTTGGGCCTTGTTGGAGCAGGCGAGCTCGAACTCGACGACGATCGCTGTCCCTGACGAAAGTTGCGAATCAGAAGTGGAATGAACCACAGAAGTTACTTGCGGGGACGTACATATCTCCCCTAAAAAATAAATTAAGAAAAGTTAGCACAATTGATCAAAATAACAAAAATAAATAAATTGAAACCTGCTACTAAGGCAGATGAAAGTAAAATTACTAAAATAGGCAGCATCGTTTTCAGTTTATATTTCTTGCTTCGTGGCCGAACAGACAATGTCACTTCCGTCTTTGAGTCAACGAAAAGTGAAACTCCGTTAATACTAATACTACTGCTAAAATTTTTTATAACCATAGAGTTCGAACATTAGAATCATTACAAATTATTGGTGTACGATTGAATCCTATTTCATTCTATATACATATGGTTGAATCTACGTGCGTTGAAATACAAATTGTCATGTTTACTTTGTAGAGCCGTTGTATTAATAACGTTAGATAAATTGGCATCCGTTGCATGGATATATATATATATATATATATATATATCCATGATCCGTTGGCAATAAAAAAAGCCCTTGGTTGATACTAAATGTACCTTTAAGTAACTAAGTAATACTATTCTAATTTAAGTATATGCTTGACACGGACAATTTTGTTTTATAAATCTTTTATTATTATAATATCTGAGATAGAATTTGAATGAAAAAAATTACATAATCAATATAACATAACGTATAAGATATGTGAATACATTCAAACAAGAAATGGCGTCGATTATAACGTTGTTTTAGAAAAAGACACAGTGGCATCCCAAGTATGTTGTTTCAGAAAAATATAACATAAAATGGAAGACATGGTACCGAGTACATATTATGGTCAAGTGTATTTTTATAAAATATGTTATTTAGATAAATAATTCATTCATTGATTTATTAAATTTATATGATATGCTTTAACTTTTCTCAAAATTTAATTGACATTTAGAAAAGAAAGCAAGTGAAAACAAGATTTTCATAATTTTAACAAGTCATGAAAGAGACATTTTGAACTAAATAGTGAACTAAAATCAACTTCTTTCTTTTATAATATAAAATCTAATCTAAATTTAAAACACAGCATAAAATAAAGAACTTCATTCATAGAACACTTTTAACATTTTTGTTTGTGCACAAATACGATCTCAAAATGCAGAGGAATAACGATTTCAGAAAAAAAAGGACACACGTTGACGTTAAAGAGAACATTTAGAACCTAAGCAAAATGTAAGAGCAAAAAGTATATGTAAGGCAAAAACGTTGTGAAAAACAAAAAAAGGAACATTCTCGTCTTATATTTATATAAAGAGACGCCGATTAAAGACGTCAAAAAAGAGACAAAGTTTCATCTTCTTCCCCAGTTTCTTCCAGCTCTTCGTCAATGGTACACGATATTTCATCCATTATGTTGACAAGGTCTTCGAAGTTTCTCACGGAGCTGACGCCACGAACCTGTGGGAAGCCCTCGTACTTGAAATCTTGATTATCGTGAACCAACAAATACGTCGGTATTGCATTTGAATCCATAAATGCCAATGTTTTATTTAATTGCATAAGTTCTTCTCTAGCGATCGTTCCGGCGATTATGAAACTAAGATCGGTACCATGATCGGAGGCTCCGTTCGCTTTCGTGAATGCCTCTTTCTCGATATAATTCAAGGCCTGCCTTAGATTAGGCTTGCCTGGGTATAAGTTTGCTTGTAGTTTCTTACTAATAATTTCATCTTTGTCGAGAGAGTCTTTAAACTGGAAGAGAACCTGCAGGCTGCCTTCTAGATCGAAGAAAAAGACGGAGAACTTTGTATGCCCTTCTCCAATTTTAAACTTTCTCATGAACGGCGTGATGAGTTGTCCAACGACGTATTGATCAAACTCTTGTTTTGTTAGCAGATCTTCTGGCATAGCCACGCCGATTGCAATATTAATGATGCGGTCACACAGCGCTGTGAAATTTAAATTATTACCAAACGATTAAAATATATGATTGTGAATAAAAATTAATTGAGAATATTATGAATTCATAAGCTAACGTCTGTCATAGTCGTAACTTCCAACTTCAAATATTTCTGTCAGATTATCAAACGTTGGCAGTCCGAAACTTGGCGTTACTTGTTTTGAGTAGACTTCTAATAAACGGTACAGAGACAGTAATAAATCGGTAAAATGATGATAATTATTTATCGAGTCAACCGTCATGACGAAAGGGTACTCTCTATATTTGACATTATTGTCGTGCACGAGGAAATATGTCGGAACGGGCAACTCTTTGACATATTCATTCAATTCAACAAGTTCTTTCTCATTGAGACTTCCGGCTACTAAGACGGCCATGTTGATCAGCTGCGGATCAATATTCTCTTGTTCGGCCATGTACATTAAATCATCTATGTATTGTAAACATGAAACAAAATCAGGCACGCCTTGAAATAAATTCTCCGGGGTTAGATAATTATTGAACAAGTCATCATTGTCCTTGTAATCAGCCGTCGTGAAAACGTTCCTAATCGCTGAATCATTGTTGAAACCAATTGCTTCCAATTTCACTCCCTCATTAACTCCGAATTCGAACTTGTTCAAAAATGGATAGATGAATTTATCGTACACATTGCTTTTAAATTGACCTTTTGTCATGATGTCTTGAGGTATGCCAACGCTAAAATATAAATTCAAAGGTCCCGATAATTTGGCTGTGAAATGCAAAATTTTTAAGTTTAGTTAATTCAACAAAGAAGAAAAATGATTATTACAAGAAAGTCGTACGAGGTTTGAGATCGGGTAGAGCTGTTAGAATGGGTTCTTCAAACTGCTGACGTTGGATCAAACTTTCGAATTCATATAAATATCGTTGAAGAAGGCTGTAGAGTTCACTAGGCAACTCGTAATTAGGCTTGAAGGTTGTGTAACTCACAAAGAAGTAATCAAGATCGACGTTCTCTTGCTCGTCAATGACCAACAGCATGACGGCAATGTTCGGCTTCAACTTCATCATCTTACCAATCTCTATTGCGGAACTCTTGTCCAATGGTCCAGTTATTATTATTGCTAACTTGGCAGCACTAGAAAATGCGTCTTTGATGTCTGGATTGTAGACATCGTTATATAAGTATTCAAGAACTGCACGTGCACTGGGAACAGTTGTCTGAGATAGCTTTAACGATAACAATATTTTCTTGAAACTGTCAAGAGATTCAAACCTATCAACGCGCAGTCCGCCAACATGGTCCTTCGGCTGATAAATAAGATTCACTCTGGTGTCTTCTGGACCGACGTCATAAAAAAACACCAATGGTTTGAATGTGCCACATATAAAATTGTAAAAGTTAGCATCTTGCATTGTTTTAAGATCCGGTGCAAAACCGATAGTCAGATCCAAGTTACCTGTAAATTGAAATCACATTGTACTGGATATTTTATGTACTTTCGAATTGATATATTATTTCATATGAATCCTTAATCTTACAGCTTATTAAAATTTCATATTGGTTCAATTTTTAATTAATTCTAGCGAAAATATAGTTAATAAAAATGTTTTTCAATGAAATTCACCAAAAATCTACTTCTACATAAATCTTCAAACAAAGAGTTTCACATTTACACCTTACTGAACAAATTTGGAGAAAAAATATCATGAAAGTAAACAAAGAAATTTATAGATTGCTTAATTTTAAAACTTAAAACTTTGTATGTAAATATTGAAATATTGTAAAATATGCATGATGAAAAAAGTGTTTACCAGTTTTTATTCTAGCAGGTGTCGTCACCGTGGTGGTTTTTATGGTTGTAGTGCTGACGAACTTTGAGGGAACTGATTTAATTTCGCTTGCTGCATAGTGTAAAGTCTCCAAGTAGCCTGCTATTTTAACCACCGAGTCAACCACTAAGACGAAATCGAAGTCCTTATATTTAGCATAATCTGTGTCGTATACAAGGAAAAAGACTGGTACAGTCATCGATGTTTTGATGTATTTCTCCAGAGTACGAAGCTCTTCATCGTTCAGACTTCCCGTAACCATAACGACGAAACTAAATCTCGGATTGTTTTCATCGGCGTAATCTTCATTTCCGAATATAAGATCGTCAATGTGTTGTAAGTTATCAACTGTTGCTGGCACACCTTGAAATAATCTTTGCGGCATTACATAGTTGCTGAATAGATCGTCGTTGTTTGTGTAATCAGATGGGATAAAAAAGTTGACCACACGTGAATTTTCGCTATTACCGATAACTTCTAACTTAACATTTTCATCAGATCCGAATTCAAATTTGCTTAAAAATGGATAGATGAACAGGTCGTAAACGTAAGTTTTAAATTCAGCTTCAGTCATTTCTTCTTGAGGAATGCAGACGCTCATATACAAATCTATGGGTCCAGATATTTTACCTGTCAAAAAGAGGGAAATATTGTTTCCAACATGAATGCCTAAAACAAAATGTTTGAACCTGTGACCATTTTACATGAATCGACCTAATGAAATTTCATAAAATTTGTCAAATAAATTTTGCGGGTTGCTTTTGCTTAAAATTCAAACATTTTAAAGATTGTATGAAATAAAAAATTATAAAAATTTGAAAACCCACGCGTTGTAAAAGTAGCAGGTAATGTTACTGTAGCCAGTTTGGTTGTAGTGGTTGTCGTAGTGGTGGTTGTAGTTGTGGTGGTTGTCGTAGTGGTGGTTGTAGTTGTGGTGGTTGTCGTTGTGGTGGTTGTCGTTGTGGTAGTTGTCGTTGTTGCAGTGGCAACTAACTTTAGCGGAACAGCCCGATGAAAGCCAATGTCGTGTCGTCTGACGACGTTCAACAGAATGGTATCCAAGTACTCATTGTCGATGACTCGTTGTTTGGCATCGGTTGTAATGACAAAATCGTATTCTTTATATTTTTTGCCGTCATCGTCGTCAAACACATAATAAATAAATTTGTTTGATTTCTTTGAAGCTTGTATGGTGTTATTGACATATTGAACATTAGTCGCTTCAAAGGTATCGGCTAATATAATGGTAACGAATGACGCGCCTCTCGGCGACGTTGATTTAATACTTTCGTAAATGTCAAGTGCGTCATCTAACTCGTCCAATGCTAGACTCTCAAACGCTTCTGAAACGTCGGCTTCATTGACTACAAAGTTCTCGAGCTCTCTGAGAGATTGCTTGTCATCGCAGGAGTGGAAGAGGTTGGCTGTTTTGAAACAAACGCGAACGTTTTCAGGACCGATGATTAAATTTCTCAGCAGCGACAGGTAGGTTCGGTGGTAGAGACCACTTCTTATCTCATCGACGGAGTATTTTTCTCTAGAGAGCGAATCAATGAGCAAGAGATTCATTGGCCCAGATACATCCTTATCTAGGTGACAAATTACATACACCCGAATAAGTAAAGTTTTAAATTAATGAAATATCAAGCTACAAAGTTGTTCTAGTTAAAAAAATAAATTTAAATTGAAAGCAAATCAACCAACCGTGAATAGCAGTAGTTGTTGCCACTTGTCTTGCGGTTGTGGTTTTTTTTGGTTTGACCGACGATTTGCCAGGCTTTGCGGTTGGTTTTCCAGTAACTTTTGGTGATTTAGTAGTTGTTTTTAACTTTGGTTTAGTGACAGGTGGTTTCGTTACTTCCCTAGATGTAGTGGTGGTAGGCTTTGTAGTCGTAGTAGTGGTAGTAGTAGTAGTAGTAGTTGTAGCTCTAGTAGCAGTTGTGGTGATAAATCTTGAAGTTGTCGTGGTAGGCCGCACAATTTTTTTCGTCGTCACAGTGGTAAATTTGGTACTGTTTTTCACAAAATCGTACAGATTGAACGTGATCGGTGGCCTTTCATCAATCTCTTCGCCAGGCGGTCGGGTGGCCCAATGCTCCCCTAATTTACTGATCACGTGATCACCGGCTTCCGCATCCAACATGTGATAATTATAAATAGAGACTCTATCGCCATACTTCCAGGAGAATGGAAGGTAGTTGCGATAGTTTCTGATGTGCTTTGAAATCTCATGCTCGTCGGAATGTTGGACTTCCAAGGCCTTGTACTCGTCGTTCATCTGATCGCCACTGAAATGGACGGCCAGGGAAATGACCCTGATATCATCTCTCGCTAATTTTTCAACTTCATCGAGCAGCTGTTCGCTAGGCCGGTGGTAGGGACCGTCCGTTATCAAAATGATCGTGTTCTTCACGTACGGCCTGTCTCCTTGCGCTTAAATTATGCACACAATCATCCTATTACCTTACTTTAAATAAATGTAAAATCGGGATTTCATGTTTAAAATTTTGATTTGAAAATATAAATACTCTAGAATATGTTGGAGATGAATAAACGATCACATCAATATTAATTGAAACTAGCGGATTAAAAATTAAATTTTCAACAGACTTTTGGTGAAAATTCTTTCTCTGGCTTCCCTGACAAGCTGCACGTAATCAGTGCCGCCGCCTCCGTTGTACTCCAGCGTCAGAATGCGGTTCAGGAGGGAGTTTCGCTGCAGGTAGGATTTCAGGTAGAAACGAACCTGGGGAAGTTTTTTTTGGAACGATTGAAAAAACTTTCAAGATAAAAAATATAAATGTACATATAACAAAATAAGTACGAAATATACGCCAACAGCTACTAAAATAATAGAAACAAACAACAACAACAACAACAACAAATACAATAATTACAACAACAGCTAAACAAATACAATAATCATAACAACAGCAAACGACAACAACAGTCGTTACAGCAAACAACAAACGAAAACTGACTCTAGGCGTTTCGGAGAAAGTGACGAAGGCGACCCTGATTTTTCCGTTGGAGACAGGCAGCCTGGCCACTACGTCGTGGATGAATTTCTTGATCAGGATAAAATTGCTTGGCCCTACACTACGACTCGTATCTACCGCGAATAACAGATCCAATTCTTCTTCGAAGCCTTTGAATTTTAGTTATTGTTAGGTATCAGTAATGCTCCGGCCGGTTTTGCTATCATTAGCCTACTTTGAAAATAAATAATCTTCAAATAAATAGGTCTGTTTTTGTTAATTTTATTTTAAAATAGATAAATGAGATAGATGGATAGATGGATGGATGGTTAGATAGGTCGGCAAACGGACAGAAAGACAAACAGTCAGACAAACCGACAGATAGATATATGATAGATAGATAGAAATATATATAAACAGTCAGACAGACAGATAGAAAGGCTGTCAGACAGGTGAATAAATAGACAGACATATAAAATAATTTTAATAAAAATACAGGCAGATGAACGAATAAAATAAAACGAACGACACCTTTTTCGCAGTTGACTCCAGTGTAGCCATCCATGCAAGTGCACGCGTATGACCGCATGCCATCTGTGCACGTGCCTTTGTTCTTGCACGGATTAGGATCACAGCTGTTCCCATCTTTGTGACGTCATCAAAATAATAATAATAATAGTAATAATTAATGTTATGATGATGCTTGCTTGTATTATAATAATTATTAATTTAAATAGTAGAAGAACTGCATAAAAATAGTTCACACATACACACACATGCACTCATACACCAAACACTCACACGCACACGCACAACACACGCCACAAACGAAAATTATTATTTAAAATAAATCAATAATAAGGCATCTCTGGTTGAAAAAAGGGGATTACGACATCCTCAAAATTTAAAAATAACTGTCAGTGACGTCATAAGAAGCAAATCTAAAAATAACCGTCGATGATGTCATCAATGATGTCAGCGGCGATCTCGCTGAGGTTTGAGAAGTCGTCATCCACTGTGTACATGTACTCGCCGACGACCTGCTTGAAGAGCTTCGACCTCAAGACGTGGGGACCGACGAAGATGATGAGACTGTTGGTTTCGTTCTTGCACCTGAGGGCGCTTTCTAAGATGCGATCGTGCTGCTGGCCGAACGTTCCGTGCGAGTTTGTGATGAAGACGATGGCGTTCGTGGCGTCGCTTCTGTCGCCACGGCTTCTTAGGAAGACTGATTTGCGAACTGTGTGTGAGTTGTGGTGGCGGTGATGGTCAAGAGGAAGACAATGATGAAGATGAAGATGATGACAAATTATTCGAATGATGATGAAGATGACGATTTTTTAGTAGATGTCTAAATGGTGAGGGGAGATTGCTGAGAGCAATTAAGAAAGAGGCTGCTACAGTTGAGTCAGTTATTTCAGACTAAGCGTCATTTTAATAGATATAAATTGCGTGCCAGTTGGGCGTGATGTGGTTGGTTATTAATTACGGTGACGAATTCAATTTCAACTTTTATTTTCAAGACACGTGCAACCGATTACAATGTTTGCGGTATTTTTAATTTAAAAATTTAATTTAAAAATTTACGATAAGAATTTTATTAAGATTAACGACATGGCCTAAAAGTAAAAGTTCCATTAAAAAAAGTTTAAAAAAACGTGGCTAAAGAACAAAAAACCAACAAACCTTTATCAAATATCTCAACAAAATCCGGCTGTCCGGACTCATACGGAATATCCTGAAGTTCACTTTTAATCTTGGCCCCACTAAAATATTTATCCAGATACATATAAACAAAGGTTCTGTAGCCATAAACAGCAGTGGCAACTCTTGTCGCGTCCTTCCCTACGTTCAGCTGGTCGACCAGCACCCCTTCGAAATCAAGAATTTTGTAGAAGTTTCTTTCGGAAATCTCACTGGAACCGTCAATTACAAAGGTTAAGTCCAGTTTTGATGAGCATCCTGAAGAATGTGTGCGTGTAGTTGCGTGCGTGCGTGTGTGTGCCTGTGTGCGCGCGTGTGTGTGTATTATCAATCATTTACGATTGTTTTTCTTTCTTATTAATTAGAGGTAAAACACAACACAAAACACACAGCGTAGATATTGTATAAGTTATTTCCAATGTTTCCAAGACGTAAAAAGTTTAACGATTGAAAGCCAACAAACTCATCCATCCAACACAGCAGACAGTTGACGCGTTGAAACATTCCTCAAAATAACGAACACGCCTGCATGTAATTTATTTATAATGGTTCCTCCGTGTGACATCGTAAGAAGATAACAAGATTGTGACCGATTCAACGTTTATTTACTGAATCAAGTTTTTTCCCAGCAGACTTTTTAGCTATTAATATACTCTTTCAATCTCAATATAAATGGGACACTTGAATGGGACAGTAACCTGAGTTATACATAAACAAAACATAGACACACACATACATACATTCACAGAAACAAACACTCACACAAACGAAAATCTCACATGTATACAAACACACCCACACACATATACAAATATTAAAGAAAGAACGAGCAAATGAATGAATGAATGAACGAATGAATGAGCGTATAAGCGAATAAATGAAAATGAGTGTAAGAACAAATTAATGAACAAACGAATGAACGAACGAACGAACGAACGAACGAACTTTTGGAGCAATCCTTGCCACAGAAACCAGAGAGGCACTTGCACGAGAAGTCGTTGATCTCTTCCATACACCTCCCTCCATTTTTGCATCGGTCGAAACCGATACATTGCCGTTTTTCTGGCAACATGTAAAAATAAATTTTTAATTTTTTAAAATTTATAACATAAATAAATAACCATACCAGTGTTGTAGCTACTACTACTACTACTATACTACTACTACTACCCCTACCACTACTACTATTACTACTGCTGTTGCTGCTGCTGTTGCTGCTTTGAACCACTAAACTACACCATCAAGTTGCAAAGTATATACAGATATCCCAATCAAACAATAACCTTCACAAATGTCCTTGAAAACCTTTCTGATGGCTGTCAAGGAGTCCGTGGTGTCATCGGTGAAGAGGAAGTCAGTCTCGGGGTTCTCGGTCAGTTGCTGCAGCTGCCTCTTGAACTTCGGTTTGACAGAAACGCCGACACCTTCAGCGTTTGAAACGTTTGTCAGTTACGATGTTGTTGTTGTTGTTGTTGTGGTTGTTGTTGTTGGTTGTGGTTTCGATGTTAGTGAATTTTTAAAATTGGAAAAAAAATGTTTGTAGTTTAGAATCGCTAAATGAAGTTCCCTAACAGCAGCCATGCATTCCACGCAAAAAATCATCCACTCCCTCCTACCAACCGGTCAAATGCAGGCCGTAATATCTAGGCTGCGCTGGCCGACCATCCAAAAAATTGCCCCACCAATGCCCGCCGGTAATGAGAACCACGTGACGTCTGACGTTTGACCTATTTTCAGTAATTGACCCAAATACCTCATCGACGAGAGTGTCCATGAAGTCGAGAGAGACGTAGTTGTGGTCGTCGTAGTAGAGGGCGTTGATGGTGGCCAGCACGTCCGCGCGACCACCAGTCTCGTTCAGGAATCTTTCTACTATTGGTTTCTTGCCCAGGGTCATGACCCCGAACCTTATCTGGGGGTGAGAATGCCGATAGGAGTAGTTCAGCATCAAGTATTATCAACAGACATAAAATATTCATAGCGAATTATTGTAGAATCATCATCATGACCACCAATGATATCATAATCATCATCACCTTATCGTAACCATCATCATCAACATCATCATCATCGTCATCATCACCACCTCATCATTATCCAGTGGCAGATCTGAAACGACGTCGATGAGTTCCTTCTGGATCCTGCTGAAGTTCTTCCGGCCCATGCTGGAGGTGGCGTCAACCACGAGAACCACATTGGCGGTCACGTGGTACACTGGTCGATGGAAGGATCGTGTTTCATTCGTTCATTTCAAACAGCGGTAAAAGTAGTAGCAGCATCAACAGCAGTAGTAGTAGCAGCAGCAGCATCAGCAGTTGTAGTAGTACCAGCAGCAGCAGTAGTAGTAGTAGTAGCAGCAGTAGTAGTAGCAGCAGCAGTAGTAGTAGTAGTAGTAGCAGGAGTGGTAGTTGTAGTAGTAACAGCAGCAAGCAGCAATCAGAAGTACGAGTAGAATTTATTTAAATGGTTGAACAATAAATATAAATTTACACATAAAAACAACGAACCATGTTGGCAGTTTTTACCGCCATGCCCCTTGCTGCAGATGCACGTGTAGTCGTGCAAGCCATCCACGCAGTCGCCATTGTTCTGGCAGGGGTTAGGGTTGCAGAGGTCAGTTTCTGTTCAATTTCAATAAATGATTATCGTGCTTTTTTTTGTAACAGTTGTGTGTTAATGCTTGTTGCATTTATTCTTTGCGTACGTCAATTGGAGAATATAAAATATCACAAAAAATTACACAACATCCACGAGCAAAAAATAAAAAAACAAACAGACAGACAAAGAGACAGACAGACAGACAGAGAGGCAGACAGAGAGACAGACAGATAAACAGATTAGCGAGCGCACATACCATCTAAAACATGACTAATAAGCCGATCGGTGACTTCATTGAGGTCATTGAAACTGTTGCTGTACAATCTCCCGCCCTTTTCAGTAGCCATGCGAAACATCAGCAACCTCTCCTCCTCATTCTCTGGCTCGATGACCATCGACACGATGTGAACCCCGTGACCTCTAGCCTCTCTGACCTCCTTCATGACCTCTCTTGTCCGAGCGTCCACGATCCCTCTGCCGAGGATGACAAGAATCTTGCGCGCATCTTCTCTGTGCCCCTTTTCGATGAGGAATAGTTCTTGGTAGGCGTGTCTGACGGCAGCCGCCAAGTAGCAGTGGCCGTTCGTGTAGTAGATGCTGTCCACGTAGTTCAGCAGCTCCTCCTTGCTCGTGTAGTCGTTGAAGTAAGAGTGCGTGAAGGCACTGGATCCGTACCTCATCAGAGATATCTGCAGGCCGCAGTAGTTCGTGTCGAGCTTGCTCAAGAAGTCCTGCTCGCGTTTAAGTTTGAATATTTACATCTGACATTCTTCATAGTTTAGAAAGAAATTTTCAAAATTATTACATTTTAAATATTTCTCCAAAATTAAATACAATCGCATAGACAATTTGCATTAGTCACAGTATTGTTATTATATTTCTTCATTTACAATTCTCCAACATTTCTCAGAAGTATAAAGAAGGCACGGCAGACAGATGGCATGGCACGTGACAGATGGGATCTGTTTGTATTCGAACACGGTCAGTGAAATAGCACTGCCAGGCATCTTAGCCACTGCACCATCGTCAAATAATCCAGATTTATAAAAAAATATTAAACTGGGGCCAGCCACCTTAACAAAATCTTTCATGTGGCCGAAGTTGACTTCACCGACATTTATCGAAGTTTCCAGGGCAAACACCACATCCGTCTTAGGACCACATCCTAGAAAAAAACAATTTTCACAAAAAAATGTTAGCTCCACTTTTATGACAATCTATGAAAACTGAGAGGTGAGATAAATGAATGGTGTTTGTAAAAACCATTAAAAAATATCTACACGTAACATTCCTGATGATGTATTGTTTAGAACAATATTATATTTTTTCAAAAAAAAAAAAATTTTTTTTTATACTTAATTGAATATAATTCGAATAAATAAATAAACGTTATTCAAATAAATAATTGAGTGAATGAATGAATGAATGAATGAACGAACGAACGAATGAATGAACGAATGAACTAATGAACAAATAAACGAACCAAAAAACAAAACAAACGTTTAGAGCAATCTCTCTTTGTGAAGGAATCATCGCAGACGCAATAATACTGGTTAAGATGCGATCTACACTTCCCGCCATTTTTACACGGATTTATGGCGCAAATGTCGTCATCTGAGTAGGGATGTGTTGATAACGTAGGGTTGTTTAAATGATGACGACGACGACGAAGATGATGGTGTTATTGAGATGATGATAACATGATAAAGATAGCGAAGAAAAATTATGACGATGTTGACGACGAGAATGATGATGACGAGGATGATGATGACGAAGATGATGAAGATGGTGATGAGAGAGAGAGAGAGAGAAAGAGAGAGAGAAAGAGAGAGAAAGAGAAAGAGAGAGACGACAATAAATCATGAAAAGTTAAGGATGGAAAGATGGATTGAAAGTGGAGTTGAAAGAAGTTTCAATGCCAAATGGAATGTAGAACTTTAAATTTATTTATTTACTCAAGTTATATACGCGCTATATTATGTAAATATGTAACACGTGTGTTGTACACACACACACACACACACACACACACACACACACACACACAAAACACACATACACACGCACAGCAAAACAACAACTTGTGTATTTATATATTAACATCAACGTGATTTTATTGAAGTAATAGTAACACTATATGTATGTGCGATATGGTGTGATATGACATGATTTGATATATGATTATATGGTATGATATACGGTAATATATATTAAGTATGATATACGGTATGATGTATTAGGTATGATATACGAAATGACACATGATTTTGAGATTAGTGAGATTTAGAAACTATACTAATAATAACGAGATGTGATATGATATACCTGAAAATGTATCAGATATACAAATAATGATGAATAGATACAAGAGCGATGATATAAATAGATATATACACTGATAACGCATACAAGTAGAAGAAATAAATACAGATATACAATGACGATATATCATGATATAACTGTATCATACTTTCACAAAGTCTGTTGATAAACGCGCTGGCCAAATCAACTAAATCTTCAGTACTGTCAACAAATTCCACCATTTGGTCGGTTGGCTCACTGGCTAGTTCCATTAGATCTTTCTAATGTGTGTGTGTGCGTGTGTGTGTGTACGTATGGTGTGTGTGCGTGTGTGTGTGTGGGGGGGGTGGTGTGTGTAGTGTGTGTGGTGTGTGTGGTGTGTGGCGTGTTTTTTACTTATGTAATAATGATTGATCTAGTTATCTGCTTATGTCTGCTTTAGTCTAATTTGCTAAGGCCTATTGAATGTCAACTCTTAGTATTGTTTGTTTGTGTGTGTGTGTGTGTATATGTGTATGTGTGTGCGTGGTGTGTGTGTGTGTGGTGTGTGAATGCATACTTGCAAGTGTACATTTGTGTACATTTAAATAAAAAATCTTTTTTTTCAGATTTTAGAATGTAATTTTTGAGTGTTCATAATACAAGGTTACTATAAGGAACTGTGTGTGTGTGTGTTTGTGTTTATGTATGTGCGTGTGCGTGAACAATCTCAAAGAATGAACGAATGAATAAATGAGTGAGTAAATGAGTGAAAGAGAGAGAGAGAGAAAGAGGAGAGAGAGAGAGAGAGAGAGTGAATGAGTGAGTGATTTAATAATGTAATGCCTCGTTCTGTAGGATGCAACAGTCGTGATATGATATACGAATAATTCAAAACCATCGTAAAAAACATTCAAAGGTTGGAATGGCCTCATCGCTATCTTCATCATCGTCGTCTTCATCGCCACCACGGGCAAGCAAACAAACAAACACACACGCGCGCACACACACACACACAAACAACCAAACATCAACAACCTTATTACTAAAATGAAAATTAACTCCTATTGCCGATACAATAGCTCCTGTGGCTTTGAGCAGTCTGGCTTCTGGAACTGTCAACTCGACATTTCTGCATGAAGGTGACGTCATTTCCTCTTAATAACTTCGTCTAGATTTAGTTCGTCTATCACTTGGTCTAATTTGTTATGTCTAGACTTATATTGTCTGAAGTCTGTTCGTATTCCATTCTCATTTTTATCATGGGTTATAACGAAATTTTGCAAGTTCTCAGATTTAATAAAATTATAATTAGGATTAAACTTCGATGGGATGGAAACATTGTACAAGATGAACTTTCAACAAGATGAACAAATTCATCAGGAAGAACCTGTTCGAGAGGCCATCCGTGATGAGAAGTACGATGTCTGGGACGTTTGGTCTGTTGTAGGGAGAGTCCAAGACCTGCAGACGTTTGCAAAAAGCGGGAAAATAAAGATGGTGGTAAAATTATGATGTTAAAACTAGCCGATGATGATGTTGGTTGCTGGTAATAACAAAACAACAACAACAACGACGACAACAACGACGACAACATCAACAACAACAACATCAACAACAACGACAACATCAATGCATCCACATCAGCAACATCAACAACGACATCATCAACAACAACAACAACAACGACATCATCAACAACAACAGCAACAACGACATCATCAACAACAACAACGAACCAAAAATATAGTATACTTCTACTAACATTAGTTCTGACCTCATGGAGGCCAGCGTATATGTTTGTACCGCCTTTGTAGTGTTGTAAGCCTGGGAATAATATTTCGATGCAAGCAACAAAACAACAACAACAAAGTTTAGGTTTACATCAGCAACAATAACAGCAAAAACATCAACAACAAACACAACATCAACTACAACAACAACAACAACAAAAACATCATCAACAACAACATCAACAACAACATCAACAACAACAAAAACATCAATAACAACATCAACAACAACAATATCAACAAAAAAATCAGCAACAACAATATCAACAACAACAACAACAACATCAACAACAACAAAATCAACATCAACAACAATATCAACAACTTGCAATCCAGTTTGAAGCGTTGAAGTGAGCCTTGTAGTGCAAGTCGAAATGCGTGTAGGCTGCATCGCTGAATGCAACTGCTGCTATCCTAAACGAATCTAATGGACATCATCATCTTCTATTTTATCATCACCATCATTATTATTATTATTATTATTATTATTATTATTATTATTATTATTATTATTATTATTATTATTATTATTATTATTATTATTATTAATGATCGTTATTGTTATTATTATTATTATCGCACACACACACAATTACGCACGTACAACCACACATATGCAAATACACATAAGCATAAAAAATATATAAACACAGTCCAACAAACATATAAACACATTCAAACAAACATATAAACACACTCAAACAAACATACATACATACAAACATACAAAAAGCAAACATACAAACTTACATACATACACACATACACAGGACAATATACAAACAAACCATTTTTCAATAAAACATACATACATACAAACATACATACACATTACATACACACATAAACAAGACAACATACAAACAAACCATTCTTCAACTCGAGCTGATGTGAGATGTACTGGATAAACGTTACGATATTGTAGAAATCTCTGTAACTTATGCTATCTGACGTGTCGACTAGGAACACTAAGTCCGCCTTGCCTAAACATTCTGTAAAAGTTGAATTGAAAAAAAGTTACACACACACACCACACACACACACACACCACACACACACACGCGCGCCAAATATACAAACATACAGACAAACATACATACAATTTATTTAAGAAATGCCGTCTAACGAAAATCAGGTTTCCTTCTCTCGAGATCGGCATAAGGACCGTAGTCAAAAAACCTGTAAACATTCGGTGGCTTTGTAGTCGTCGTCGTCTTCATTAGTGTCGTCGGCTGTGTGGCGCGTGTAGTCGTAGTGGTAGTAGTAGTAGTAGTGGTAGTAGTAGTAGTGGTAGTAGTAGTAGTTGTTGTTGTAATAGTAGTAGTTGTTATTCTTGGTGTTTTAGGTGCTTTTGTTGATTTTGGTGGTCTCGTTACAATACGTTTTGTCGAAATTACTGCAAGTATTGTAGTAGTAGTAGTAGTGGTTGTTGTTGTAGGTGCAGTTGCTGGTATCGTAACTGTAGTAGTAGTAGTAGTAGTAGTAGTAGTAGTAGTAGTAGTAGTAGTTGTTGTTGTTGTTGCAGTAGTAGTAGTTGTAGTAGTAGTTGTAGTAGTTGTTGTTGGTTTAGTAGTAGTAGTAGTTGTAGTAGTAGTTGTTGGTTTGGTAGTAGTAGTAGCTTTGGTGGTAGGTGGGGCGGTTATTATCTTAGCAGTTTCCGTTGTTAATGTCGAGTTGAGTAGACTGGCCCAGAAAGAATCAGCGACCTCCTTCTTCTTCTTATCTCCTGAGCTAGAGTCTGCGTAGTCGTCGTCGTCCTCTTCCAGCTTTTTAACTCTGGTGACGCCTGGTTAAATTGACCAGACATCGAAAAAAAAATTTGCTTTTTCAGTGTATTTTATATTTATTTCAGATACATTCTTAAATTTCAGCCATTCACTATCGTCGTCATCATCAACAACATCATTATCATCATCAGCAACAACATCATCATCAGCAACAACATCAACAGCAGCAACAACAACATTAACATTACCTCCACTCCCGCCATCATTATCAGCACTGCCACCATCTCCGCTTGCTTCTGCATCATTCAACAATTCCGGATATACCAAGTCCAGATCTGTATGTGTTTGTATATATGGATATATCTATCTATCTGTCTATCTATCTATCTGTCTATCTATCTGTCTATCTATCTATCTATCTATCTATCTATCTATCTATCTATCTATCTATCTATCTATCTATCTATCTATCTATCTATCTATCTATCGAACGATCCATTTATTCATCCATTCTTCCATCCATCCATCCTTCCCTCCATCTTTCCATCCATCCATCTATCTATCCGTCTGCCATTTTAGTTATTATTAAAAACAGGTTTTTAAATATAAGTTTTAAAACGTTGTTGTTCTTAAAATAGACCAATCATTCCTATCCATCCATTCATTCGTTCGTTCCCATTCATTCATTCATTTTTTCATTCATTTATTCGTTCGTTCGTTCGTCATGTACGGCACGCTTAAATATTTTACATTTTAAAATAAAACATTTTTCAAATAGTTTTAACACACGCAAACATACACACACATACACACGCACATATGCATGAATCCCTATATGTGTACTTATGTGTATATGTGTGTGTCTGATGGTTGAATATATATATTAGGTATATGACTTCAGAACAACACATGCATGGGATACCATCAATTGATGAATTTTTATTGTAAAAACACAAAACCATATCAAAATTATTAAAAAAGTTGAAAAATGTCACCCACTAAACATTTTAAAGTTTTTAAAAAAATTGCCATTTGTCAATTATTTCAAGTATGGTTTCATAAACTTTTATTTGTAAAAATAAAACGTAAATTTAGTTTCTCAGATGAGTGGCAAAGAGGAGCAATATCTTGTAGAACTTCTATTGTTCTTTCTGCACACACATTGCTGCGTTGAGTGTGTATGGAAGATGGACTTTGAGACCAATGAGTTTGAAAACAGCGCAACGCCTTAGGATATTCATTAACAGCATATAAAAGAAATTCATATTGTTCAGTTCTGTAATAATGATCACTAAACCAAGCATCACTCCATTGTCCACAGATAAATTCACACAATTTCTGAAGGTTCTTTCGTTCATCAGGCAATAGTATGAAAGCCAACAATGAAAAATTGCTCGAGAATTCCATCGAGCATTGCTGATGCCAGGGAGTGCTTTAAAATTAACTTTTGGCATTTGTTGAAAAATTCTTAAAATGCTTGAAAACGCAAATTAGATGGTGCAAAAACTTCATATCATCTCTCCAGCCTACTTCCTGTTCTTTTAGATTTGGAGTACATTTCTTTGCTTTACTTTCAAAATCTTTTTTTAACATTTCATAATCTTTAAGTATCTTACTCACAAATGGATAATTCATGTTAGGAGACTCAGTTGAATCGCCAAGCAATGCATCACACACGTGTCTAAGAACACGATCAAGTATGTGGTGCTGACAACCTATAAAAACTGGCGCAGATTCACCGTGTTGAACAAAAAGTTTCTGAAGTCTCACCACAACACCAGACTTTGACCCAGTATTAACATTTGTAGTGTCTGACACTATCATCTTTATAGCTGCCCATAGATTATAATCATCCAACGTTTTTTGAATAGCAGATGCAATAGTAGTAGCTTTTCGAACTGACAGCTTCCCAGATTGTACTAATGAAACCGCACTAAATGTAGACTGTTGAGATTGCTTCAGATGTGTGCTTTGATCAAAGCTTTCAATGGATTACTGTGTTGCTTCAGAGTCATCAGAACTACTTTGAGAATCTTCTTTGTCACTTGAGTCATTAGAACATTTTTCAAAACTGTCTTTTTGTTCTAGTTTATCATTAACTTTTCCAGCAATTTTTCGTTTTGATGGGTGAATTGTATTCTGACTGGCATTTTTTGTTGTTGCATATCCTGTCTTACCTCTACTCTGAATTTGAATTTGGTAAAATTTTTTGTCTTCTGCACATAGCCATTGACTAGTTTTGTTTGTGACATCAAACAACTTATCAAATTGCTCACGCATGTCACCAACAGGTTTTTTCAAATGAGTATCATACTTTTTAAGTAAAGTTTCAATTTTTCTGCCTACTGAATGCAAACATAGTATTGGAAAATTCAACAAGCTCCACAATTGCTCTATTTCTTGTCTGAGTGTTGTAATTCTTTTTAATCTAGACTTTTCAGTAGAGGCCAAGCCTAAGTAGCGACCAATTATCATCCACTCTTTTGGCATTCTGGAATGTGAATACAAAGGTTTGATCCCAATGCTGATTTTGTTTCTTCTCTTAAGAGTGTTTTGAAATTTTTTCAAATTACTTGACCATTTGTCTTTATTTTTAGTAACAGAAAGTGAAGATTGTTTATAAGACATTTTCCAAAATGAAACGATGTAAAATTAAAATAATTGTTTAAACTGGATTAAAATGCAGAAACACAACATGGAGAACAGAAAAATGAAATTTAATTGTAAACAATAAGATTAAAAGTGAACTTAAGAAAAACGAAAAAAATGGATTATTTGCAAACTAAAAAATCTGTTGGTGGGTGAACTTTTTCAACAAAAATAATGAATTTTCGCTATATTTATTATTTTTATATAAAAGTTCATCAAACTTTGGCATGCTGATTTCAATTTTACAAAATTTGTTTTTGAAGTCATATACCTAATATATATATATATATATATATATATATATATATATATATATATATATATATATGTGTGTGTGTGTGTGTGTGTGTGTGTGTGTGTGTGTGTGTGTGTGTACATGTGTACTTGCTTGATTGCTTCTTTTGAAGGCGTATCAAAAGTTGCGATGTAGGGAATGAATGTGTGAGTACGAGAGTCTTCATAGGCTTGTGTGATGGGATGAGTGTGTTTTAGTAACATTTCAAATGGCAAATGTTAAATTATTAATCTGATGAATGACTAGATGGATGGATGGCTAGATGGATGAATTAATAGATAGATAGATAGATAGATAGATAGATAGATAGATAGATAGATAGATAGATAGACAGACAGACAGACAGACAGACAGACAGTCAGACAGATGGATAGACGATAAATGATTATCACATTCATCACCACAACTGACCATCATCACAATCATCGCCACAACTGACCATCATCACAATCATCACCACAACTGACCATCATCTTCCTCAATTGAGGGAAGTCCATTGCAGACAAACGCGATGGTGACGAAGATGGCGACGATTATGAAATTGAAAGTACAGCGCACCATCATTTTTCCTTACTTTTTTATATTTAGTATCTTCGGTATCATGATAACATTGATGAATTAATTTATAATTAATAATATTGTAATATTGATCAGTAATATTGATCTATCCATTTCTCTATTTTATTTAGATTTTAATTTAAAGCTTCACAAATGCTTCATAATCACATCGCCATGATTAATAATTGATTTATAACTGATAATTTCCTATACAAACATCCAGCAAGAATGAAAATAATTTGAAAGTTAACAACAACTTATGTTAAAAACTTAAAAAAAAACTGGCTAGCAGATGTAAATTGTTTCAAAGAGAGAGAGAAAGAGAGAGAGAGAGGTGGGGGGGGGGGAAGAACGCAAAACAAGATATTTATATTTATCTATGTAGAGTATATATGTAAAATTTATTTAGTTATCAAATATACAGAATGTTTCAAGATGAATAGGAGATATGAAAACATAGTGGATACTATAAAAGACATGAAGAGATAAAGAAGAAGAAGAAGAAGAAAGTGAGAGAAAAACAGAAAAAGAGAAAGAAAGAAAGAGGAGAGATATTGAAATAAAGAAAAGATATATTTTTTAATTAGCGACGATTTTATGCATGGCAATAATATGGAAAGCAGTGCTACTTTTAACTGAATAACAAATAAATAGTTGTCAGAATGTATGAATGAGTCCGTATTCTAACCAATCGATTATCGGATATTTTGACAGACTCGATATCCAACTCGTCAAAAAATGCCGATGACGCTGATGATGACGTAAATGATGACGTCAATTGAAATTTTTTTGACCAGTTAACAAAGCAGCCAGCTAAACATATAACCAACCAACTTGACGATCAAGGGATCAAATTAGGCACCTGAGAGATGTTTGTTGATGTTGATGATGATTTGTTGATGATGTTGTTTCCTGTTAATGTTGTTGTTGTTGTTGTTGTTGAATAATTATAATTTACATGATTCATAAAAGAGAAATAAAATAAAAACCTCTGCGGACAAAAATTAGCAGACAGACAGATAAAAATGTTTCAAAAGGAATCAATCAAAAGATAATTTTGCAATAAAAAATAAATAAAAATAAATAAATATATATGAAAGAATAAATATAAATATATTCGAAAATAAATTTTATTATCCAACTTAAAATAACTAAAATTCCTAACTCAACTCGTAGACAGCGAACACAGGCTAAAAAAATTCATTTTTCCTTTAACAAAAAAAAACAATAAAATGAACTCGACAAACGAATAATCTAACTAATTAATCAATTATTAATAAAGGAAAAAATAACTTAATTAAAATAACAACTAGAAATTAAAAAACTAAATAATTAAACTAATTAGATTAACTATGAAACCATCTGCGAAGGAGAATAGGACGGAGAAAAAAATATAGTTAGGAAACGGTTAGGCTTAACACGTCAGCAGATGACACACGGTTACATAAAATCACACAACAAAAGATGCACATATCTATGTATCCATCCGTATGTACATTCATCCACCCATCTATTCATTCATTCAATCATTATAAATATATATATATATATATTCATTCATTCATTCATTCAATCATTCATCCAACCACTTATACATTCATATCTGTAAATCATCTTCAAAAAGATTATAGTTTATGTAAAGTTACGTAACGTTTACGTACGCTCACACAATATTGCGCACACACACACACACACAAACACACACATACACACAGACACGAGTGTGTATGAATGTTGGTTTTTGTGCGTGTGTGTATTTGTGTGTACGTGTGTTTGCATGTTTGTCTGTGTGTGCGCGTTTTCGCTCTCAAACATATGTACCTAATTTCATTTTTCAATGATAAATCACAACAAAAAAACCTTCAAGTCTGCAACATCCATGTGATGTACCTCCATACATATATACATGCATACATACATAAATGCATACATTCATACATGCATACAAACATACATGCATACATACAAACATGCGTGCAGGCATGCACATACTGATAAAATATAACGGTAAATGTTAATATATAGACATACATACATAGAGAAAGAGAGAAAAAGAGAGAGAAAAGACAGAGAGAACGAAAGAAAGAGAGTTATTTTCTTAAATTTTACCCCGATGTTAACCTTTTGTTATAAAACGTCACGTCACACTGATTGAACAGTTGAACATTTGAACAAAAACGTTCCAAGCCAAGGATATAATTGAAACAAATTGATTGATTTATTAATTTTAATTACATTTCTACTCATTTTTTTTCAATTATTAGCGAGGTTTTGCGTTGTTTTTTAACTTTTAAAAAATAAAAAACGAAAAAAATTAAAGAAAATTTTTATTTAAATTTATTGAAAAAAAAATTGTCATTTACTAAAATTGGTATTCCTGAACTGAGCTAGACTAACGATAATAATAATAATAAATAATAATAATAATAAATAATAATAAATATTAATAACAATAATAATAATCAATAGCAATAATAATAATATAAAAACATTCAGTACTAACAATAAGATATATAATAAATAAACATAATTATAACAACACTAACAACAATAATAATAATAATATTTAGAAGAATTGCTAAAAATTAAAAGAACAACAATTATTATTATTATTATTAATATTATAATTATTATATTAAGAATAGAGACTGCTAGGTATGTATAAATATGTATGAAAATGAACATGATACATTACGAAAAAGATAATACATAAATAAGAAAATTAACGAATGAATGAAAGATTGATTGATTGAATGAATGAATTAATTAAATAAATGAAAGATTGAAAGAATGAATGAATGAATGAAGTTAGTTTTAAGGTTAATGTTATGCAAATCCACACTGAACATGAAAATAAATTATCAATTTTTCTCATTAAGAAGTAAATTAACAAAGACCAACCAACCAACCAACCAACCAACCAACCAACCAACCAACCAAACAACTGACAACCAACCAACCAACCGACCAACCAACCGACAACCAACCAACCAAAACATTGTTGATCGAATTAATAAATATAAATAAATAAATAAAACCTATATAAATGCAACGTTTATATATTATACGTGTGTGTAATATATATATATATATATATACATATATATATAAACATTATATAAAACATTTCTTATATATATATATATATACATACATATGTGTGTGTGTGCTGATAAAAGATATATATATATATATAGTATTTAAAAATCTAAAAAAAATAACTCTTAAAACAAATTTAAAAATATTTTTAAGTAATAAAGTAAAAAAACAACGGAAAACCAGAGAAAAAAATTGAAATACGCATAACTTTGTACGCGCGTGTACACGTACGCACGTACGCGTCGTTCAAACTAAATATACTTCAAACAACAAATGTATAATGTACAATATGTGTATGTGCACACACATACATACACACAGACAGGGATATATATACAAATAAACATCCATATATATGTATGTCTGTATGTATAGCTAAATGAAATGGAAACTAGGTTAAACCCCATCATGATCATCATCATCCACATCATTATGAATGGATGAATGAATGCATCAACATTACATTCGTGATGAGTGAACGATTGAATGAATGAGAGAACGACGACGACGATGATGATGACAAAAAACTGAAATTGAAAGATGATTTCAAAGATGATAATAAATGGCTATAAAGTACTGGGCTATGATGATGACGACGAAAAAATGTATAGACACATGTGGACACATGATGACGTTGGCGATGATGTTGAAAGAACCGCACACACAATCGCGCGCACACATACCCACACGCGCACGCACACACACGCGCGCACACACACACACACAGATAATTCCTTCAATAATATGTCAATCTGGATCAATAAGATACCACATTTTCATTTACGTGTAGTAACAATAATAAAAAAACAAACATGACAGCTAAATAATCTTCTGCCCTGGTTTCTTATTTTTAAATGCATCAGTTCAAACTCTTCCTCATCCTCTCTCTCTCTCTCTCTCTCTCTCCCTTTCTCTCTCTTTCATTCATTTCTTCATTCTCATAATGCCCCATTAATAAATAAAACCAAAATATATAAACAGAATAAAGTAATAAGAACGACAGAATTAACGAACAAATTCTAAAAATGAGATTGTTGTCTATGGAAAAACAGACAGACAGACAGAGACAGACAATGAGACAGACAGACAGAGACAGACAGACAGAGGTAATAAATAAATGATATAACAATGATGACATTCTCTCTCTTTCTTACACACTCTCACACACACACACAAACACACACAAACGGTTTTTCGCTCCAATTATATGTACATCAATTTACTTGCGGATATATAAGGTTTTTAATTCTGTTTATTAAAAATGTATAATCACACACACGCACACGCACGCAAATATTCATTAAGATGAAACGCTTTTCAAATTGAAATAAACTTTAAACAAATTCCTTTAAATTCAAATTAATTACATCAAAATACTATATACAGATACACACACACACACATATATATATATATATACATACATATATACATGCGATAGGATAGTTTCATGTAGAACCTTGAATTGCAAAACAATATGCACACTCAAGAGGAGGAACAAATGAATGAATGAATTAAAGAATGAATGAATTAAAGAACGAATTAAAGAATGAATGAATAAAAGAAGGTGCGAATGAATGAATAAATGAATTAATTAAAGAAGAAATGAATGGATGACCGAATAAACAAATGAATTCATGAATAAATGAATGAATATGATTAGAAGAATGAGTAAAAAAACTAAAACACACACACAGACACACATATATATATTTATTTATTTATATATGTGTGTGTGTGTTTGTGTATGTGTGCGTGCGTGTGTGTGACACTAGAGCAAGTTCTACAATCTAACTATTAAAAACTAAATTGTATTTACACAAAACGCGCCCATCTTTTGAATCTGTTACCTAACAGTGAAGTGAAGAACATGGATACAGAAATTAGTTCATATATCTATGGATAATTTATTTATTCATTCATATACATATCGTCTTGACGACTAATTAGTTAATTAATAAATTAATTAATTATTTATTTATTTATTCGCAAGTTAAAACTTTTTTTTACAAATAATTATGAATAATATTGAAGAAATAATAGTAATAATAACAACTGTATCAACCGCAAAGAGCCATTAAAAGCCAAAATCAACATGAGTGAACTCGTTTACACACGCACGCACGCACACAAAACCAAACAAACACACACACACACGCACGCACGCACACACACAAAACAAACAAACACACACAGACAGACACACATATAAGAAACGAATCAAGATGGCAACGCCTTTTAGAAATAAATATCTGACAACTAGTAAAACTCAAACTGATCCAATAAACGAATATGAATGAATGAATGAGCGGATAAATGAATAAATCAGTAAATGAACGAATAAATAAATGAATGAAGAGGAAGAGAATGATGGAGAGGACGATTGATGGTGATAACATACTTAACCATAACGACGATGACGATGATACTAAGTATAATGATGATGATACCGAAAATGATGGTAATGATACTAAAAAGAATAATGATGATGATGAAAAAGATGATGATGAAAATGATGATGATGATCGCGAGTCATCGCTATCAGAAATCTAACCGCGCCCAAAACATAAAAATAATGATGACGATGATTACGTATTTTCAGAAGAACGATGATGATGACGACGATGATACTGCAAATAATTATAAAAGCCAACACAGTAATATTCATTTGTATGCATGTATGCGTTCACATACACATACACACACACTCACACAAACATCCAAACACAAACACACATACAAAATCAAGTATGAGAATCCAATAATAAACCTTATTTTCAAAATAGCATTGAATCACCCAACAATTCAAGAATTGTAAATGTTTCACACACACATACACACACACACACACACATATATATGTGTGTGAAAATGTATGCACGGTTGTTTGTATGGATGTATGTATGTATGTGTGTATGGATGTATGTATGTATGTATGTGTGGATGCATTGGAGATGTACCGAATGGTTAATTTGGCCAAAGACCGAATATTTGAGAAACTATTCGGGCAAAACCAAAGGCTGTACACCAAAAAAGCCAGAATTTTGGAAGAAATTTAATTTTTTAGAATGGAAAACAGGCTGTTGAAAAACAGTAGGTGGTTCTTGTCTATCCAACGAGACAACTCTTCATCGGGATAATGTTCAATCTCTTGTCCAAATTCAGATGTTGTTTCTTCAGCTATGACGGCCAAAATACATTTTTCGCTAGTCAACTATCATCGTTCTTCAATCTTACATCTTAGGCTCAAACGAAACTGCAGGCGAGGACTTTCAAAATGACCGAAGCCGAATGTCAAATTTTGGTCGAATGCCTACTTTGTATTTGTTATCGTGTGCGTATACGGTATGCGTACGTGTGTGTGTGTGTAAATATGCATGCGTTGATGAATATGTATGACTATTCCATCCCTATTTAGGAGAGCGTAAACTTTGTCTACTTTATACCTCTTTCATTGTGTGTGCGTGTTTGTGTGATTACACGTGTGCGTGTGAGTATTAACGAACGAGTAAATATTGAACTAAATAATTTTAACCAGTAAATCAACTATGAAATTCGTAGATAATGTATATACGTATTGTATATACACCACTATGTACAGCGTTTGTATGTCTGCTTATTTGTTTGTGTAATTTTTTATTTGTCTGTATATCTGTTTGCTTGTTATACAAAGAATAGTCTCCACCTAATAAAGAACTGCCAAAGTTTAAATGAGAAAAAAGAAACGCAAAACTTTACAATATAATCTCATCTGTTCTCCTACCAATGTTTTAACTTAATTTCACTTTTAAAACAACCAATAATAATAAAATTA